GCCAATCAATCCCCTAGAAAGGCTCGCACTCCATCGCCCTCCCAGCCTCTATTGCCCCAATCCAGCTCTTGGTGACCTAAAATGGCAGCCAGACTCGGAAGCTACCTGTAGGTTAGTGTGTCCTGCCAGCATCACACAAGCTCCTGATCTAAGACCAGGCTAGGCGTCAAGCAGACAAGGAGATTCTTCTGCTCTCTGCAGAGCAGACCCCATCCAGAAAGAGCCTTATACGACGACACATCAACACAACCTGGAAATTAGAACATAAAAGAGAATGATACCCAGGCCTTGGAATGAACCTTGCTCTTTAAGGTACCAATGGTCTCTCTAGAAAACTACCCTCCAGTTGGACAACAAACAAATCATGGAATTTCCACTTCCATGTGGTCATATGGCACAGAATATGGAAATCAGTTCTGGCTAGCACCCTTCCCCTCTTTGGCAGGTTAACATGGCCAAATTGACCCCCAACCCAGGGCTTACAAGGACAAGAGATAACAAAGGGCTAGAGCAGAAGATTCTTAAAATGGGTTAAGGTGCTTAAATTGCTCTCCTGTGATGTATCTGCTCCACCTTTCCATCAATTCTACTACATGGTCATCCTCTCGTCTTTGTGTTCCCAGCACCAGGTTATTTCAGGGTCCTCCTGCAGTCAACTGTGTGAGTCTTTGCCTAGGACTCCAAAAACTCCATCTATATCTTCACAACCGCCAGTAGGTTCCAGTTATGTGCTCTGCATGAAGCTTGTCACTATGTGTATACACACACACACACACACACACAAAATTAAATTTCTGAGGTAGAAATTATGATCGAGAAGAATAATTCCAGTTGGTTCTAGCTCATAGAAATGATGCTGCCTCCTGATACACAAGTGGTATATTCTGGAATTAAAAGACGGGACAGGAGCAAAGACACCCACATACTCCACAGGGCATGGAGTCTCCAACCTTGGCATGCATCGGTCTACCTGGAGCGCCTGACACAACAGAGCAGCTTCCACTGAACAAACCTGACATATAGCATCCTGGACAGTGCGGTTGTTGCAGGTCTCTGGACCACAGAGCCCCCTATGTGGCCACGTACAGCCGTACCCTACTTGGCTCCCAGCATCTTTGTGCTCTATAAATGACCACTGTAACTTCCCTTCCAGGAAGGCTTCCACCACCTGCTTATAGAAACTCGTTCGGGCGTTTTATTAGTTTCATTTCAAAACCAAAACCAAAATTACATATATGCTTTGTGGCCTCTGACCTTAATGGGTTCACAGCCTTATTAAATGGACCCAGTCACAGATGTTCAAGCCAACAGTTTTTCCTTGTGTATATATAGACAAGTACCTTTTTTTTTTTTTTTTTTTTGAGCCTTTTATCATTGTGGGGGAAGGGGATTACTCACAGAAGCTTTACTTAAGCAAACTGGACCAATTAGTCACACATATGCAAAGTAAATAAAGGAGTAAACCCCCAGAGGATCTGCCTGGGGCACAGCGTCTGTTTTCACCCTTAAGGCCCAGGCCTCCTCCCTAAGAACTCTTTTAGTTACTGGAGCCAAAGGTCAAGCCAGGCAGTAGCCTCAGGCAAAAAATCCGGATTTCTTCCCTAAGCCCTCTCAATGTCTCTGTGCACCATTTCTTGGTAACTTTTTCCTATGTCAAACCCCCGCTAGTCTGCCTGTTCACCCGGCACGTTCATTCAGAGAAACAGGTGTCCCTGTTAAAATTAGCTATCTCAACTGCCAAAAGAGCTCAGCTCCCCACAACAGTTTAAAAAGGAAAATATAAAAAGGACCACCACTCAACCATTAACTGATGTTTCCAAAATTATAAAGATCATAGGGGCTGGGAAACAGACAGACAAACCACACACACACCCCAAGTATTTCACATTCTTACCAAGAACGCAGAGTGATTAAGAGAGGCCAAACTTTAAACAGCCACAGAAAGGCTTGTGATTTTTTTTTTTTCCTGGTAATGCTTGAAAGCCTGTTTTGTCCCATTTCCTTGGTCGACTGTCATATATAATGGCTTTTGTTTGGGGAACTTAGCTGTTTATCCTTTTTCTCCTTAGCATTCCTAAGGTTCTTGACATCTCAGATCAGAAAAGGAAGGTCAGGGATGGCCTGACTTACAATCCTTGACCTGGGAAGTGAGAAGGACCCAGGGATGGACTGGAAATGAACACAGTAGTGAGGTTTGATTTACATAATAATAAAAAAAGAAAAAAGCGAAAGGAGGCCATTCTGATTTTCTTCCTGGGACCAGTGGCTCTGCTGACCTCATTACACTCCATTATGAAATAGGTTGATGGACTTTTAAAAAAAAAATCAGGGACTATTTAAAAGAAGTTTGGCAGCACATTGGAAGAAAGTTACAGTCTCAAAGACCTGTGCCCAAGTCCCTTGCCCAATCAAGCATTGCGTGCGCGCGCGCGCGCGCGCGCACACACACACACACACACACACACACGGAGGGAGGGAGGGAGAGAGGGAGGGAGGGAGGGAGGGAGAGAGAGGTCGAGAGCACAATGGTGCTATGTGCTCCTCATGCTGGCTCTCAAAACCTGCTGAAAAGACAATTCAATTTCAAGACACCTGCTGGTGAAGAAACCCAGAACCTCATAAACCGAAGAGGATAAAGAAGTTAAATGTTACTTTTCTTCAGGACAGAGATTTTTAACATTTCACGTCCAAACTTTTAAACACACACCAGCACTGACAGCACCTGCCATCTGTGAGAAAAAGTTTCAAATTTAATTTGGAAATTAGCTAGTTAATGGCATGCAAGGAGACAGGGCAAGTTCGTTGTTTTTTTTTTTTTTCCTTTGGGCTTGCATGATTTTTAAAATTACTTCTTTTAAGGAGGCCAAGAATAAATTGTCAATTCTTTTTTCTTAATTTCCAGATTTATAGGTTTCTGGCCCTTATTTCCTCTGGGTTCACTCTGTGATCCTCAGACTGAAGGAACCTTACAAAACTTAGATTTTATCACTATTTGTGTAAATCCAATAAATAGAAATAACTTCCATATGCACTTAGGATTTCCTCCCCAATCTCCCTGAAGCTGATCTAGACTAAACCTTACAATAGAGCCAGGGGCCTGAATAGCTCAAGGTCACTTTATATTACTTTAGCAGTTTAACCCTTCCAGGACCAGATAAATTTTTTTAAATTCCTAATGAATATATTTTTTTTTGTTTGAGGCAGCCCATGCTGGCCCAGACTCACAGCAATGCTCCTGCTTCAACTTCGTAAGTGGTGGAACTGCAGGTGTGAGCTACTATGGCTGGCTTTCCCCTGACCACTGTATATAATATAAAATGTATACACCCTATCACTTCAACATTTTTCTAAGAGTGTGAGAGAGGATAATTTTACAAGTTAAATTTCAAATTCTTGCAACGAATATAGCCATTCAAGCAAGTCAGTACGACTGTCTTCACGGTGATGTTTTTATAGTGAAAACCGTACAGTAAGTCCCAAGAAAAATGTAGATGAAACTTATAGCCTGTACGAGTCTTTTTGCCCATGTGGCTCTTCCAGGCTTCAAAGCTGTAAGTAAATTTGCCATTCTTTTAATAAGAAACTATTCAAGAGTGTCTTCAGCAAACTATACCCCTCACAGCCCCCATCCCCATTTCCTGTATATGTCTACAGAGAAGACAAACTACCATGACATAATTTCAATCAACGCAGTACCCTTTTAGTACACAACCCACCATCTGAACCAAGGTCACCAAAACAAGTCCTCTGCCAGCAACTATGCTCTAGAACGTTCTTCCACTCTCCAGGACATCTTCCTCTGCCACACAGCCAGAAGAACCTAAAAGCCATAGGGATTTCTGAGTAAGGCCTAGCCTTCTCACCTAAGATGCTAAATGCACTCAGGGGGACACACGGGGCAGTGGAGTCCCATGCAGAGCTCCGGGAGCTGGCAAGGCTGCAGCCCACACAGCATTAGGAAGTGCTTTAATCTGAGGAGAGGCAGAGCACCAATCAGATGCCAGCCAGTCTGAACCTTGGCTCGTGATGACAGTGAGAGGAGTGGAGACAAAAACGGCTAAATTTTCCAGAAAAACTAGAAGGAAGACAGACACCTCCCCAACAGCCCACCCCCAAGCCCTGCGTAATCCAATCACACATCACCTGCCTGTAAAAAGATCACATACACTTGTCTTTCTGGGGTGCTAGGATGCTCAGGAGAGTCATTCTTGAGGGACAAGTGGCAAAGGTTGGGCACTGGGGATCCACTTGCCCCTGCCCACAGATGACAAGCAGTATACACAGTCAGTGGAAACACAGGAACCGCAAAAAAGGCCATCTGAGAAACATAACAATTTAATAGATGAAATAAATACTCCAGTACATGCAGGGTAAAAACTTGACATTGGGGGAAAAAATCACTCTATAGTGTAAATTAAAAAATAAAACACACGCTCACAGTAGCCTTCCCCCCATTTGCAAACCACGTGGCAAAGTCATACTCTTATCACACCATGTATACTCTAATTCAACAAAAAGAAACGACATACAAAAAGGTAGCTACATCCATGTCTAAGGAGTGAAAACTGAGGTAACCTTTCTTTTAATTAAAAAGAAGAAAGAAATGAACCCATGACCTCTTTCCTGCCCAATTAGTAATTGAGTTGAGGGGCTGGAGGGTGTGGGAGTAATCCTGCAGCCAGCAAGACTACCTAGATCCATCTTCTGTATCTGAGTCCCTACAGGGGGCTGGTAGACACCTGGACCCTCTCTGTGTATGTATGTGTTAACTTGTGTATATGGCCCTGCGTTCTGGAAAATTCCTCTTGAGCATTTAACATGGGGGAGGGGGGTCACCTATGATTTCTTTGGTATAAATGGAGAGGGGAGGAGTAAGAGTCTTCCTTTAGCCTGGGGTGGAAAACGGGGGGGGGGGGGGGGGGGGGGGGGGGGGGGGGGGGGGGGG